CGGTTTGTCCTTCATGAGTTCTTACGGCAATCTTTGCTCCTTCATGCATATCATTTATAGCTTGGATATATGCTACTCGTACTCATTTCTTCTCTAAAATCCTCCAAAAAATGTCTCTTGGGACCCTATCATACGCTTTTTCCAAATCTATAAAGACCATGTGTAAATCCTTTTTCCCATCTCTATATCTTTCCATCAATCTTCGTAAGAGATAGATTGCCTCCATGGTTGAGCGCCCTGGCATGAACCCGAATTAGTTGTCCGAAACCCGTGTCTCTTGCCTCAATCTATGCTCAATGACTCTCTCCCAGAGCTTCATTGTATGACTCATTAGATTAATACCCCTATAGTTCATGCAATTTTGTACGTCGCCCTTATTCTTGTAGATAGGCACCAAAGTGCTCGTTCGCCACTCATTCGGCATCTTTTTCGTTTTCAAAATCCTATTGAAAAGGTCAGTGAGCCATGTTATACCCGTCTCTCCCAAAACTTTCCACACTTCGATTGGTATATCGTCTGGGCCTACTGCTTTTCTATGCTTCATCTTCTTCAAAGCTACAACCACTTCTTCCTTCCGGATTCGACGATAAAAAGAGTAGTTTCTACACTCTTCTGAGTTACTCAACTCCCCTAAAGAAGCACTCATTTCATGTCCTTCATTGAAAAGATTATGAAAATAACCTCTCCATCTATCTTTAACCGCGTTCTCTGTAGCAAGAACCTTTCCATCCTCATCCTTGATGCACCTCACTTGGTTTAGGTCCCTTGTCTTCTTTTCCCTTGCTCTAGCTAGTTTATAGATATCCAACTCTCCTTCTTTGGTATCTAGTCGCTTATACATATCGTCGTAAGCCGCTAACTTAGCTTCTCTCACAGCTTTCTTCGCCTCTTGCTTCGCTTTTCTATACCTTTCACCATTTTCATCGGTCCTATCCTTGTATAAGGCTTTACAACATTCCTTCTTAGCCTTCACCTTTGTTTGTACCTCCTCATTCCACCACCAAGATTCCTTTTGGTATGGGGCAAAGCCCTTGGACTCTCCTAATACCTCTTTTGCTACTTTTCGGATACAACTAGCCATGGAATCCCACATTTGGCTAGCTTCCCCCTCTCTATCCCACACACACTGGGTGATTACTTTCTCTTTGAAAATGACTTGTTTTTCTTCTTTTAGATTCCACCATCTAGTCCTTGGGCACTTCCAAGTCTTGTTCTTTTTTTTCTCACTCTTTTGATATGTACATCCATCACCAACAAGCGATGTTGATTAGCCACGCTCTCTCCTGGTATAACTTTGCAATCCTTACAAGTTATACGATCCCCTTTCCTCATTAGAAGAAAATCTATTTGTGTTTTTGACGACCCACTCTTGTAGGTGATCACATGTTCTTCTCTCTTCTTAAAGAAGGTGTTGGCTAAGAAGAGATCATATGCCATTGCAAAATCCAAGATAGCTTCCCCATCCTCGTTTCTCTCCCCAAAACCATGGCCACCATGAAAACCTCCATAGTTGCCTGTCTCCCTGCCCACGTGTCCATTTAAATCTCCTCCTATAAATAACTTCTCCGTCTGAGCAATTCCTTGCACCAAGTCTCCAAGGTCTTCCCAAAATTTCTCCTTCGAACTCATATCCAACCCTACTTGAGGTGCGTACGCACTAATCACATTGATAAGTTCTTGTCCTATTACAATCTTGATTGCCATGATTCTATCTCCTACCCTCTTGACATCTACAACATCTTGTGTCAAGGTCTTGTCCACGATGATGCCAACACCGTTTCTCATTCTATTTGTGCCTGAGTACCAAAGTTTAAACCTTGAGTTTTCTAGATCCTTTGCCTTAAGACCAACCCACTTAGTTTCTTGTAGGCACATAATATTTATCCTTCTCCTCACCATAACTTCCACTACTTCCATAGATTTTCCCGTTAAGGTTCCTATATTCCACGTTCCTAAACGCATTCTATTCTCCTGAACTCTACCCCTCTGTCCTAGCTTCTTCACCCTTCCCCGTCCAATGGAATCAAAGTACTTCTTTTGTGTGTCCCGTGTAAAGTTGATAGGTGCATATGCTCCCAAACAACTTTGAGTGGAGTCGTTCGAAAAGAAGTTTCTATGGCCCCCTTGCTCATTTAACACTGCATCCGGGTGCCTATGGAGATACAGCGACCCTTGCTCACTTATCACTGTGCTCGGGCCACACAGCGCGCCACTTACGAGTGATGCCCTAGCTTTAGCGCGATTTCGTTCTAAATTCATTTTCATAAGGATTCGACGTAACTGTGGAGTGCCGGCTGTCGACTACCTGACGCCCTCCCCCTCCTCTTTAACCCGGGCTTGGGACCGGCAATGTAAGATAAACTTACATAGGCGGAGTTGAATGTCTTATTAATGAACCACAAAAATGTGATACAAAAACGTGTGATCTTAGATCCTAACCTTACACACACGTTTGTGACATACATTTTTTTCATCCATTTTTAGGGCCCTTTCGTAATGTATATCAGCGATCGGAACCATTTATCTTTCATGTCTTACCTCAAATATCAAGTATACTAAAAATTATTGAAAACCATATGACCATTGAATTAAATTTACTAGTTCCTTGTAGAACCATACTCAATGTTCTTCACTACGAATGCATTATTTGTTTTGAATTTGTCTAATCTTTTGCAAGAATGGTCTATGAATAATGTACTAAAATATAGACGGGTCGAATCGTTGAAATCCATTACTAAGTGAGACCCTACAAAATCACTGTCAAAATGTGTGTTAAACACGTGTGTTATGAGATAGTCAACTAAGCTAGAAACTAATAGAAATAAAATACTAAAGCCATATATAGATATATATTTGAGGAACTATGTAATGACTAGAAAATTTCCGAATACCTAAAAGCCTATATGTTAGGTAGGTATAATACGTATCTATATTTTTCTCTTAATTCGCATACCGTCGAAGGGGGTGGAGATGCTTAAATCGAAGTAACCTATAAAAGAACAAACAACCATGAGCAAGCCAAAGATCCCAAGGGGTGGGTGTGCCAGTCAAAAGTTCTCCGACGGTCAAATTAGTGAGTAATACAACATTAAAGCAGTGGACAAGAGAATAAGTATATAATAATTTTGTTACTAGAGATGAACTCTAGAAGGGTATATTTATACTAGTCGATGATGAGACCTTTTAGGATAGTAGAATTCTTATTAAACCAGGGAAATCCTATAGGATATCCAGGGAGAGATGTTGCATCTTCTTATGAGCGTGAGTACTTGCGACGCACGTCTATCCTTAGATTGTAAAGACTCCAAGATTATAGAAAACCTGTTGATTCCTTGCTGGATTAGATTTCTGTATCTTGTGAACAAGTATGGTCAATCTCAGTGAAGTTGCAGGATGATGGTGGCGTCAGTGCTCCATTTATTTAGCTCCGCAGCGGAGGTTGTCGAATCCATGACCCGACTTCTGAGGGATACGTATTCCAATCTGTCCTACTCCGATCCTAGAAAATCATGGTCCCACAATTGGCCTTAGCTATGTAACTGAAAAGACTTGAACCTATTGAGGATGGATAGTTACCTAAAGACCATGCCTTTTGGAGTAAGTCGAAATGTGTACAGTTTTAGTTCTTTTGACATGTATCATCTTGGCTTCGAACCTTAATGTTGTGATGTACCGAGTCATTCTGCATTCATTGCCTTGTAAACCATGCCATCAATATCTCAATGATGAAGAAGTCTTAGTTGCATGTGCATGAAGAACGAAGATCTATATGTTACTTTCCCCAATTAAATTTAGCCGCCGGATTTGTTGATATCAAGGTATGATGATCCGAATTCAATGGTGAAATGATTATGATATATCCCTTTAAATATCTTTGAATTTCTTCCTCTAAAATCCCCAAATCACTTTCATTGAAGGAAAAACACTAAACTTTTTCCCATTCTTTTGCCTGAAATTAATCACTTTTCCATCAACATCTTCTTAAATTTCTTCATTCTTTTTTAATGGCTACGTCTTCAAGCAAAGCACATGCGACAGCTCCCAATTCTCTTTATGACCTTCCATTAATGAGAGTAGGCAGTTAACATAAAGGTCAAGCATTCGTCTACCACCACTAGGATTTAGGCCGCCATGCCTAGACCTTCAAATCATCTGCCCATATGCCCTAGAATCCACCCCCGATACTTGATCTTTTGAAAGGTATCTTGATTTGTTATGACATGGCCCTCTATAACTTGTCTCCACCAGTCTTCAGGCTTATAACTTGCTTAAAATTATTAAACCAGTGGTATGGGGCTAATCTTGAACTTCAAGAATTTTGTGTACTATACAGTGTGCGAAGAAGTTCTGATGGCCATTACTTTTTCCAGCCTATACCCAGTCTCACGTTGTCTTTGTACATGGCAGAACAAAGATTGGTAAAAGGACATTCTTGTCGTGGATGGCAATTGGAAAGGTGATATTTCCAGAGTTCAAGTTAAAAGCGTCCCCATGTCCAATCTTCGCCCAGATAGTGACTTGAAGAGTATCAAGCTTTGTCGACCGCAGTTAATAAAGTGTGCCTTAAAAGTTCTAGCGAAACACCATAGTCAGAAGTGGTGAACTTCTCCTGCTCAATTTACGGAGCGCAAAAAAGGTTCGAGAAACATTGTTACAAGTCTCCTAACCCTAATTTGGACTGGATTTTCACAAAAAAAGTTCAGAAATGAGTCCACACTCTCAAGATCGCCAATTCCCCAAACCCAGAGAAGAAAAAACAAAAGCAATCCAGTGGCGTATCTCTCAAGCCTCTTATAGGGTGGTCCCAAAAGAGAAATCGTTCAAGGGAAAAGGTTTCGATGTTGTACTTAAGGACCTTGAAGTTAAGGAACCAGAAGAAGTTCCTCTAATAAGAAAAATAAATCTTCCAATGCCTGAACGAGTGCAACTTATGAAGTGGCGGACCCGCAACCCCTTGTGGAAAAGCACCATTCTCCTCATTCTCTTTTTATACAACAAACCAATGCAACAACATCATTCACCTCCTTATTCTCCACCGCAGCAACCAATACAACAACATCATTATCCTTTTTCTTATCCACAACAACAGTGTGAAACCTCTCAACCCAAGTCCGAACCTCTTCTGCTACAATAACAAAGTACTCCATTACTAGCTCAAAGTGAAGTTTGGAACCCCGAATCTTCCTTTGCTCCAATTCCTTCTCTTCCCATAATCGAGAGCATACCCAGATTTATGCCATCGTTTATCGAAACTTAAGCTGAATGGGTGACACAACCGCCATTAGTTATCAGACTCTCATTGGATCGTGTTGCTCTTCCCACAAATGCAAGTGGATTCCAAAACACGGATCATGCACATGTTATTCTTTAAGCTGTAATCACTCCAACGGACTACAAGATGCCCGCTCATCCTTTGAAGACTTCCTCACGAGATGCCATGAAAGCCGATACACGGTTATTCTCGTCCTTGCCATTGTTCGCATTTTGAATAATTTTTTATTTATATGCCCCATTGTTTATGTTTGTGATGGCCATACTCATGTTTGGATGGATGCGACCCTTCTAAGTCAGACAATACAGTTTTGTAACCTCGAAGTGGCTTAGCGAAACAAGTCTGAGATCAAGACTCCACTGGAGGAACAAATGATTGCCCAATCAGCGGAGCTATAGAATGCATGCGTGCAGCAATAGGCTATGTCGAAAGCACAAGAAGTTGAGGCAGAGAAGCTATATGAAGTCTAGATTTAAGTGTTTTGGCTTTCCTTGTTAATATTGTATATATGTACCACATATTCTCTAGTTAGTTTTCACGATATACTGTCATTGAGCCTTGTTGCTGTTGGAAACCAATGTTCATGGGGTTGGCTCATCTCTTCTATGTTTGTTCATACATATGAATTTCACGTTTAAATTCCTGTTACATTCTGTCTAATGTTTTTGCCTCGTCAAAATTACTCCTATTATCTTGCGAGCTATGCACGCAATCTAAGACAGCCACATAGGCTGACTGACACATTTTTTACGAGAGTAAGCTTTTCACCCTTGATCTGCTCATATTGATTTTCCCTTTCACAAGTGTCATTTCGTTCTTGTTGGCTAAAAACAGACAAGCCCTTGTGATAAAATATTCCTAGGTTTCATATGTTATTTGGTTTATCTGGTTTTAGTTTTGCAAACAGAGAGATATAGTGCATTCAAGCCATAAAGTGCATTCAAGCCTTAAGCTTCACCTCTTCCTCATTTCTGGAACCCTAGCTGCTGAACCATTTTTCAAGCAGAATATTGGCATTAACTTTCCTAATCATTGAGAAATAAGTTTGCACTGTTTCATAGTCTACATTTAAGTTTCAAATCTTCATATAGACCTAGGTTGGATTCACATCAGTTTTTCTTCCTTCAATTGTTTAATTGTAGAAACTGACTCGTCATTTTTGAATCCATGTTACATATCATCGTCATCATCATAACATTTTACATAGATCGTGTTTGGTCTCAGTGGCACAAGGAGATAAGCTCAAGGGATGAAGCTGCCTTCTTGTGAAAATTGAAGACTTCTCCACCTACGTGCAACGTAAAGTTGCACAAAGGTAAAAGCTATTTCTTAGATCTAGGATTTGAGCTTGTGGTGCTACTTTGTATTAAATTTTATTTGCACTAGTGGATTGGACTCCGTGGGGTCCCCGGTTTTTTAACCCAGTTAAGGGTTTTTCCGGTCAAAATTTCTTTTGTTCTTTCTTACTTAAACTTGTTCACATATCTAGTTTATAATCATATGTTGCACACATTATATGATTTGTTATTTGATGTGTTTATGCTCAAGTTTATATTGTTTGATTATGATTTAAGAACTATGTTGTTGTTGACTAGGCTAACTTGTTGTAAACTAAGTTCATTTCTTAAAATAAACTTAAAAAGAAGAAAATGAATCAATAGCAATTATACTAATTCAATAAAATAAAACCTTAATCATAATAAGAATGATTGAAATGTAATATTCCCCGGATTAAAGGTGAACAAACTCTCTTTAGCGCAACTTCAAAAGCATGTTGATAACGTGTTGTAAGCCTATTTAATTGAATTATAAAGAGGAGAGACAGGGTGCAGAGACAAGGTAGAGAGAGAGAGAATTGGTGAATTATGAGGTGTGTATTATCTCACCCCATTGTGCCATTATTTATAGTAGCATGGAAGTAAATTCCTTGCCCATTAGGTATTACAATACAATCAAGAAACTATCTAAAAGATGTTGTAGAATCCCAATAGGTTTTATTAGGATTTACACAATTACATTCCTAACTAAATTAGGTCTGCAATAAATATGTCATTTTTTTAGTACCTTCAAATTTCTCCAAAATTCAAGTTCATATTTATCAACCTCGATAATGCTAGTCATGATGCCCTAAAATTTTAACCAGCTCAAAGGTTTGTGAAAAAGATTTACAATGGCTAACATAATCATTAAGGTAATCCTATGAAAGCCAACTTTTTAAATCAAATTTTGTAAATCATATGTCGTGGTTGTTAATGATTGATTTAATACTTAAGTGTTGACTAACATACTTATTTCCTACTGGTGACATAACATATAATTTGCAAATTTAGTCTACCAACTTGGTCTACTTAACATTACTCTATTTATTATGATTGTAAGACTTGTTTATGATATTTGCATTTATTATGATCATAGCCAATTCCTCGATTGTAAAAGTTAGTGTTGAGAGTGAATCTCACATCGGAGGAAAAAAGACTTTGTATGTTTATAAGTAGTTGGGTTACTCCCTATATTGCCATTGGTTTTATGGTAGAACCCCAACTTTCTTCATGGTATCATAGCAAGTTGTCCCAATTGTGAAGCTCAATGGCCACATGAGCTCTACGTCATTTGATTTATTGCCATGTGTTAGGCTTGATAATTCATCGCACAAGAAGGGGTATGTTGAGAGTGAATTTCACATCAGGAAAAGAATGTACTTACACAAGTTTATAAATAGTTGGATTACTCATTATATAACATCAGGGGCGAATCTACTGAGGGATCTGGGTGATTCCGGGACCACTCAGAAGCACGAATAAATAGTTATGAGGACATTTGAAGACCACCCAAGTGTGGTGGAAGAGAGGAAGAGCTGCACAATGTTGTTCTGGGTGGGTCTTCTGCAAACTAGGAGTTGAAAGAAGAAGAAGAAGAAGACTATTTTTTTTTTTTTAAACGAGCTAAGTCATTTAAGTAAAATAGTGTATTTTGATGTATGGTTTGAAAACACCCTCCTTAGTCCTATCCCAAGCCATGTTCTTTTTTCTTTTTCTTTTTTGTGAACTAGAAACTCTCATTACCAGGGCAAAGATGCCAAAAGTACAAATGAAAGTCTACTGCGAGGCAAGCAAAATAACAAGGATGAAAACTAAGCAATGTAAAGGGGTGAAAGAGAACCCGACACTGCTACCAAAGCTAAGACGTCACCCCTTACACTACCAATACATAAATTTAAAGGGGGCAAAGTAACCCATCATTGTTTAGGACATGAACAAGAGAACAATAAGGGTCGATCGACCCAAGTAAAGTCACACATCTTCAAACATCTTCACGACGCCAGGTGGTCCGCCACCATATTGGTTAATCTTGGGATCCAAGACCAGTGACTGTCTTGAAAGGATTCTCCCAGTTTCTTGCTCTTTACCAGAGCGGGAAAAGCCTCCCAACTGCCATTTGTTAGCGTATCCCTAAGGCATGAAATTGACTCAGACGAATCGGATTCAATGATAACTGAGTTCAGACCCAAGGAAATACCCAACTCGCACCCATGAAGAATGGTCAGTGCCTCAGTCGCTGCAACGCATGAAACAGAGAGACGGTACCTACGAGCTGCAACGAAGCTACCATTTTGATCCCGTACAACAACCCCAGCAAACTCCACATGCGAAGCAACCAACCAACGGGCATTAACATTAATTTTGACAAACTAGGGGCCTGGTGGAAACCATTAGACTATCGTTGGGGTGACGTGGCTGCTTGACACCAAATTCAAAGTGAGAACACAAAAAGCTTCCATAAACGCACTGGCATTGGTGGAAATGGCCGCAATCACATGTCTCGGGTTAATCGATTATTGTTTGAAAAGAAAGAAACATCTAGCTTTCCATATATGCCAACATGAAAATGCAACATAAGACAAGAATAGTCCCCGATCATATTTTGAGCCACTATTAAAGTTGATAAGAGCAAGAAGCCAATTAGCCCAAGTTGTGATTTCACTGTGGTTAATTTTGTAGTTTAAAGCTCCACCAAACCACATCGTCTCCACCCACGGGCCAAGTAAAAAAAGGTGTTATATTGATTCCTCCTAGGAGTTACAAAGGGGGCATAGTGGTGATGAAGCGGATTTCTACCTGAAGAGGGCCGCCGTTGTAGCAAGTGCCTTATGAAGCATCTTCCACATGAAGCAACGTATTTTTAGGGTTTCTAGCTTCCACACAGCTTTCCAAATAGGACTCGGGATGGACGCGGAAGAGGAAGATCCGTAGTTTACCCTCAGGAATGCCCATGAGTGAGCCCAATGATATCCTGACTTAACGGAGTAGATCCTTCTCTTATCAAGTGGCCACACCAATCTATCTCTAAGCATATGGTCTCCAATATAAGTGTCCAGCATTGCATCACCCTCCATTACCGAAATGAAAGGTCTTAAAAAATCAATGTCCTACTCCCCCTTTGTTTGGCAAATTAGAGACTTGACCCAAGTATTCCGACTTACCTGGGCAGTGCCACGTGGGAAAGGGTGCCCAATAGGAAGGGAGGGAAGCCATCTGTCAATCCACACCCGCACCTCCTTATTCATGATCTGCCAGTGTGACCCTTTAAGCAATAAATCTTTTCCGAAGAATAGACTAGACCACGCCCATGATGCACGCCCGCCACGCTTAGCATCAATAAATGAACAATGTGGAAAGTAGCGGGCTTTCAGAACCGTTACCCATAGGGAATTTGGATCTTAGATCAGTTGCCAACATTGCTTGGCCAGCGGGGCATCATTAAAATACATAAAACATCTGAACCCAAGCCCCCCATTCCCCTTTGGCAGGCCCATCGTCTCCTTTGAAACCTAATGAATGTGTCTTTCATCCCCTTTTTTATCCCACCAAAAGTTGACAATAAGAGCATCCATTCCTTTACATATGGTCCCAAGCCATGTTCCTTGATACAAGTTTTCACCATTTTTTATTAATAAAACAAAAAGGATTCAACTTCAAAAAAAAAAAGCCAAAACTTTTCCAATTCCAATTCTCTCTCCCATTCCCAATCTCCAAACCCCATCCTACCCAACCGAAGACCACCAACACAGCACCAGTAACCTCTCCAGTCTCCACAGACCACGATCAGGTTCATCGCACGGTCCAAACCAGTGACACAACCTACCATTCTGCTGTCCTTTCTCCACCACCACTTAATCCCCTCATTTATAAATTTAAGTGATCATTTTATTTTAGTCCAAATTAATCACATAGAATATTAAACTCATAATATATAGTTATTGTTAAATTTTTATGATTTTTTATATTGTTTGGATCATGTGTTGGCTAGTTCATTTATATTTTTTTTTTTAGCTTCATCAATTGATATAGTTTTTTGTTTTGATTAATTAATATGTGTAGAAATTAGAAGTATGAAACGATATTACAAACGAAAATCATATCTCGTTGTTGACAAATTAGTCTTTGTAGCTTGTCATATTGTTTGTACAAAAATTATGAATTAAAAGTTGTAGTCTATTGTTTAATTTTTCAATGTTATATTTAATATTTTTTAAAGCCTTTACATTGGGAGTACCCGATTTTAAAATCCTAGATTCACCACTGTATTACATGGTTTCATAGTGAAATTGCAAATTTATGGGTGACATTTTTGCTCACCACCTTTAAATGGTAGTAATACTCAACACCCTACTTATTATTATTAGATGAATTTAAATTTCAATATGTGTAGTTAATAGACACAAATCTCAAAATTTAAACTCCTTCAATGATTATAATTAAGATGATGAGTATTAAAATCACTTGAAAGTTGTGAACAACAATAATCCTATTCTTACAGCTAGAATAGAAAGTGAGAAAGGCTTCCCATGCATTTAGCAGCAAGCAGAATTAAATGCACAACCAATTCGGGGTTGATAAATATTGCTGCAACTTTTTCTTCGTTGTGGCTGACAAATTATTTTTTTTTTGGGGGGGGGGTTGAACGTCCTTCTCTAGGCCTCTACGCCACCCATGAATCATACATACTGGATATTATTCTTATTTTTTTTTTTTTTGTTTTTTTTTTTGAAAAAACCTTTCCAAAGAAAGGAGACAGTTTTATTACAAACACTCATTACAGAGAGAGGCCCACAAACAAAAAGAACCAAACACACAAACAACCGAACCTCCCAACAAGCCCAACAAAGCTCAACAACAGAGCCCAACATAAGATACAGAACAAAAGATGCTTCTCGATCCCAGCAACCACCGCCTGCAAATTAGTCCGATCAACCCAGAACCAAGCCGCCAGCCAACGCCAAATCCACTCGAGTAACTCCGCAGAACCCAGCCACGAAAGCCATCCCGATCGCCCCACTTGCTCCGATCGTCCCGATCTCAGCCAGAAAGTGAAAGAAGTCCGAGGGAACACCCCGAACGACAGTGCCAACGAAGGCAGACAAAGAGAGGGAGGTGGTGTTGAAAACACCCGAGCCGATGAGATCACCGGAGCTCTACGCACCCTCTCGAAAGATCGCAAAATTTTGCGTTGAGATCTGACTGCAGATCGAAAAGACAGAAGACGGGGAAGACAGGCCTGAGGTAGAGACAGCTGGGTTGAAACAGGAAGAACTGGGGAGGAAATTAACAGAAAAACTAAGAAACAAACAGCAAAAGAAAAGGCTTGCCTCCGACCCCCGCCACAGCGAGGGTCATCAGCAACAAGTTTAACCAGAAGGGAAATCACTCACACACAGGAGGTGGAAAAACTCTCAAGAAGAGAGAAGGAACTCTCACACGGGTTTGAAAGCTGTTTATGATGGGTTAGAAATGTTGATATTATTCTTATTTTAATTCTTGGAATAATGCAACTTGCTGTACCTTGCAACTTGCTGTTGCACATAAATTTTTTCTACAGTGAAAGTGACAGTTTCATGCATGCATACATATGCCATACCCAGTATTTCCTCCACCCACTTATCACAATAACGTCTGGTCACTCCTGTAGGCGTATGAATTGTTTGACAAATGACAAACTAGTGTGTTGAGGGTATGAATTTCACTTGGAAAAAAACAAAAAAAAAAACAATTTTATGTGCTTAGAGTTCTGCTATTCTCCATATTGCTAGAATGATTTACCGACTACTCAACCAATGCTTTTGAATCTTGTGACCGAACGTTCCATATATTCTAGCACATAGAGGTTCCTAGTAATGAAGTAAAGTTGGCACCGAAAATATAGTAAGGCATTGCACGTTAAGTTGTCTCAACATCTCAATTGTAGCTTACCTATCAGAAATTTGCTTTGTCAATGAATCCATGTATTAGGAGAACATCTATATCTCTGATCAGTTGCACAAGCGTAATGGGTTGGTTTGCACATATTAAGGAAGTAGTTTGCCGATGTTAATCTAAACTAACTATTAATAGAATGCTCTCAGTCGACTAAAAGATGGTAAAAAGACTATTTATGGCTGGTTTTGTATTGTTATGCTTTGAAAAAATACTGCTTCTGATGTGCTGTGAGAATAAACTCATGTTTGCTGTTTCACATTTTCAGTTTTTTTTCATCTAAAACTATGAAAATAAGCTGTTTTTAAGTGTTTACCAAACACCTTTTTGAGCTCATCTTTTTTTTATGGGGTGTGCTATCCACACACCCCTTTTTACTTCTCACACACCCCTTGTTAATTTCTGTCCGTTGATCTTCTTCAATTCATCCGATCCGACGGCCGAAAACCAAAAAGGTGTGGGAGAAGTAAAAAGGGGTGTGTGGATATCACACCCCTTTTTTATACTCACTTTTTATAAAAACATCTCAGTATCAAACCAGTACTTAGTCTTTTATTACACAAAATTAAAAAGTATTTATACACATAAAGTGTGTAGGCATATGCTCGTTATAATTAATCAAGTGTTTTGCACGTCCTTCATTAAGCTTTCTATCGTGAATGTCGGCGTTCATATACATTACAGATCAGCCGTGAATCTGCGAAGTCCATGAACGATGCAGTACCCAAGGGATAGTTTAATGAGCTCAGCCATGTCCAACCGGCTTGGTAATGAATACTAGTCCTGCCCTCTGGGTATAATGGATCGCCTCAACCTAAAAGAACAATACTTAGGTACCTTATGTATTTATTTTTTATTCAGTCCAATTAAAAGATGTTACATATTTTTGTTTTTAAAGTCTAAAAAAATTAATTAACAGTCTATTATATTTTATAACAATAAAATATGTGTTAAAATATCATTGAACCAAAATCAAAAAGTGAATATACGTTGTACTTAATAGTGAGTATCTAAGTATTATCCAAATTAAATTTGGACAATAGTTTCCAAAAAAAAAAATTAAATTTGGACAACTATAATTTAGCTGTCGATACTCATAATGACCCAATATTATCATATAGTGTATGCTAATTTAGGATGCGTTGTAAATCAACATGTCATTGGTGATCATCGATTTGAGACCCCACAACTCTCTTTATGCACAAATGATTTAGATATCTTCATAGTCACTAGGGGGGTGTGTTCAAGTATATTGGAAGGTCCATTGGCTAAAATACCATTTTAACAAACTTCATTCTTACAACAAACTCAACCAATCACAAACTAATAAATGTCACAATCTCATAACACAATGGGTTAAGTGAGGCTTATAATGTAATGGGTTAAGTGAGGCTTATAATGTAATCTTTACTTCCAACTTTCCTTGGTTTTTACTTGTAGCTTTCTTTGCTAGTTATTTAATGATATTGGTAAATTGATGATGATTTTTATTAATAGATAATCATTGTTAAAGTTTGCTTCAGTTTTAATTATAAGTTTTGCTTTCTGGCATGAATACGTTATTTAAAAGAATTTATTTCTTGAAAATATTATCTTAAGGAGGGGTCTCCTTTTTAATTTTCGCATAGGGCCCTAAAAACACTGTCTGAGATGCCGGTGTCTCTCCCTTTTGATCCATCTCCCATCTGCAAGATGGCTGGATCTGAGGCAACAATTTTCACTTTTACAAAAGAGTAAGTAGCTTTTGACACATTGCGAAAACTTCGCATCTGCTCAATATTGGGGTGTGAAATCATTATTTGGAGCTTTGCTTAAGGTTTCTAGTCTCAAATTGTCTAATCCCTTTAATTTTAGATTTTCAGTTAAGAACTAATCGAAGAATCATTATATACCTTGAATAATCAATATTCCTGTCAATTCATGGGGTCAAAATTGAAAAAAAAATTGAACAGAAGTGAGGTTTTCTTACCTTCAGCCTTTAAGATATGTACATATATATATACACACTTACATTTATATACCACATGAATGAATAACTTTCTCACATATTCATATGATAGGGTGGAGATTTTGCAAATAAGATAATGAAGGGTTTTAGGATGTGATCGGTATTAAACTTATCCAGTTTGAGTTCTTGTCATGTTTTGTTTATCTTTTTCCCAGACCACAATTACTGAATGAACTATGACAAACAATGTGTCAGTACAACTTGATGATGACATACCCCTTCAACCCATAACGGGTAATTATTTACAGCAGATAAAGATAAGTACAAAGATACATTGCTCCAATTAAATGAGCCTCTATTTCTCATGGCCTGGTGGCAAGACTGGCCTTGAGCTTTTGAATGGTGGCCACATCAGTCTTGAAGGAGATAGCCAAGACATTGTCGCCGATGCCGGTTGTGAACAAGGTGGAGGGGATTGATACAGTTCCTGCATTTGCACTTCCTAAGGCAGAAATTGCAAGAGCTGGTTTTTGTGAATCAGCATTGTACTGGAAGTGCATAAGTCCCTTTGGAAACACAAACAAATCACCCGCTTTAAGTGTTTGGTTAAAGAGGTTGTTTTTGGTGTCAACGAAACCGACCTCAAGGGTACCATAAGCAAGGAAAAGGAGTTCAGCAGAGCGAGGATGAGTGTGTAGTGGGTTAGTAGTGCCGGATGGGAATTCAATGACGGCATAGGAAACACTCTGCCCATTGAGAGCAGGGAACTGAGCCATGCTTGCCTTTAGTATCTTGAAGTCTGCGGGAGGGCCTCCTCCGACAACACGAAAGCCAGTGTATGTGAAGAAGTTTCCGTCTACGGTTCCATTTGGGGGCGCTATGAAGTCAGAAATAATGTCTGGATCTCCAGCCATTGCCATTTGAACAATGGCAAATGAAAAGATTAGTAGTGACAAGAATTTGAGGGTATAAGTTCTTGAGGCCATGGTTGGAGTAACAGGTTCTTCCCAAAAACTCGATTAACTTGTTTCGGGTAGTTGGATCAGGTTTTCGGGCTTCTTATACAGTTGGGATTGAGTCAAACATAATGCCAAGAAGATGCAAAGGGGTCATTATATTATTGAAGGATGGCCTATCTAACGTTAACTATAGATGGAGGTTACAATGTCCTCCTTGTATCGTTTAATGTTGTTTTACAGTTGTTAATTTCTTTGATAATTGTCGTCAATAACATACCGAAGAACTACTTTTAACTTTTGGAGATTTTCTTATCTTCATCAACATCAGATATTAAACTAATTGGTTGTATATTCCTAGACGTCCTACTGTTGTATATTCCTAGACGTATGTCGGGATCATCTTCGAGTACATTTCATTGCTTTCAATGTCGAAACTAAAGAGACAGGCAAGTAAATTCGAATGGATTATATGTTTCATTGTCCATAACAAATATAAGTGGAAGAATAAACATGAAGGCAAAAGGGATTTAAATTAAATAGTACAAAACAACCCAGCAGTAAATCTGTCTCATCAATTAAAATTTAAAAAACCGCCAAGGTTATTAATTTCCCGGCATGATCTCCTAATCTCTCCTTGTTTTTCAGTAGTAAGGACTCCAACTGCTCCCAACTTAACCATGGCCTGCCCAAATTTCGTGGAGAAGCTATTTGTATCGCTGGCTAAGGTTTTCACCATAGCCTGAGTTATGGGGTCCCCAGCTAGTTCTTGGTCGATTTGAAGAACTCCTCTGTGGGCTTCTATCTCCTTGTAGAAGGAGTTATCAACAATAAATGAACTTTGAGGGTTCTGGTCCAGATTAGTAGCATTGGTGCCTTCTGAGTTTTCAGGGCATATAAGTCTCAGCCTTTCCAATAATGAAGATTCCATGTCGGGGTCAGGTTTTCCGGTGCTTTTGAAATTGTAAAGACGATCTTGGAAGAGGTTACAATGTGCCACCCCAACAGTGTGACCACCTACATCATTACAGCAGCACGCATACATTAACAAACTCAGCAAGCCAGGCATATAACACATCACGATTTTATTTTAACAAAAAAAATTCAAAATTTGAAGAACACGAAATGAGGGAGCTGAAGCATATATATTGTTTTAGAACCAACTTACCCAGAAGATGAACCATGTCACTCGCATTGAGTCCTTTTCTAGCAAATGCTGCAACTGAATCAGACACTGACATTGAGGGATTTGGGAGGTCAACATCTGATGCTTGAGATACGAAGCCATCCCTTCTCCCTGTTTGTACTTCGTATCGCCCTCCTCCGCCCTGAAAGACATAAATCAAAATTTCACGTTGTCAATGTAATTTTAATAGGTTGCCCTACTAACAAAGTTTAAGGCGTGCTTATTTTCAACTTCACCAGAGTGGTGATACGAACAATTGATATCACCCAGTTTACTTAGTTTTCACCATATACAATCACTCACTTTAATCATCTGTCAGTTACAAGCACACTAAGTCTTGTTAAATTACATGATCGAATTTCATTGTGATGAACTAGCCATGATTGTCATTGTCATTATTTACATAATTACATACCATGATATCTAAATGCTATTTAGCATTAATCCATGATTATTGGTGCAATTAACTATGTTATAACAGCTTATAATGATCAAGCTTAGGTACGATAATAAAGTAATTTAGTTTGGATTCCAAATAAATTAAAATCAGAATCAAATTTTATACAGAAGAATATTTTATTTACCCAAAATACAGCTTCTCTGGTAGCAATTGCAATAATATCAGCGCAAGAGACAACTCCTCGGCATTCGCTTTCCACGGCGGTCTTGGCGGCATCAATGACATCATAACCCCGTACACTTAAGTTTGGAGGAGCTGTTTTCTCAGTGGAGCTTCCATCTAGTAGAATGGATGCATCACATCCCTTTTCAAGAAACACAGTAGCATATTAGCCTATGCAGATCTTACTCATATTAGAAACGTGGGCAGTAAATGTGGTCCAAATAACCCAACCCTTTGTCTTACTAAAAATAAACTTACATTGACAAAGCAATCATGAAATTGCATGCGAATGAGGGCAGCAACAATTGTCCGATTTTTGAAAAACTTTTCCTTTACGACACGCGCTACAATTTCTTCAACATCTATAGCCCGGCCACATTTCCCCCGGTAAAATCCTACCTCCAGTGCACTGGAACAGTGGCCTGAGAATGCCCCGAGTACGAGCCCAATTGCTAGTGCCACTGCAGCTGTGCTAGACATTTTCATATTGATCTTAATTGAATTGTGGAAATGCTAATTGATGAACAATATATATGCATGGAATACTATGATTTTAGTACTGTTTCAAGTTGTATGGTTTGCACATCTTCTTGCCTACTAAAACATGCAGTCATGTATGCTGTAACTTGCCGAGTAAACGTGCAGTCATGTAAGAGTACAATGGAGTTTGGAATATACATCTGAAAGAACAGCCAAGAGTTTCCTATGAGAATTAGAAAATGGGAAGGTCAAAGATTGCGTTTTTAGGTATCATTGAAATCTTGGATTAGTTGGTCCTTGATTTAATAAATAATTACAGTGTGGACCTTCACGAACTTTCTCATTTCTTATATTTATTTTCTTCTCTTGATCCGGTGTCACTTGATGACCATGAGACATTTGCGTGTGGATATATATATGTCAATAGGCGCTAATTCGCCCAAAATGTCTATGCTCAACAGCGTTTTGAGTATTTTTTTGACAAAAAAGAAAGATAATTGTTATTAGCACTCCAAAAATCTCATTCTACACTCATCACAAGTGTATTTTTCTTTCTAATTATAGAAAGTTAGGAGTGCTAAATAAGATTTTTGAAATGCTAGTAACAATTCCCAAAAGAAAAACATTGTTTTGAACATTACGCCGATTTATTTCCTAAACTTGTACTTCATTGATTGCTTACCCCTTGAACTTTTAGTTTGACTATTTTCTCCTAAACTCTTATAAATAGCCAATTTCGCTCTACGGTCATGTTACCTTATGTAGGAAGGTTTTTGTATCGAAGGCTTTGATGGGCTTGTGTTATACACAGACGAGCCAAAACATTCATGTTCCCTATTTCTGAGTTACCAAGGACTAGGCCCAAGCATCTCGAAGGAAAAGTAAGTCCTAGGGAATGCTTTATTGTTCTTCCAGCAACTCCTAGGTGTTTGGTCTGGTGTTATGTTGAGTGCTTCCGACATTGATAAAGTGCTTCCACTGTTGATGAGGTGTTTCTATGGTAGCTGATAATCTTCTTGTGATTGTGGAATTTCTTTCCGCAACCAAAAAAGTTCTTCCATTGGAATGCTTCCCACGCTAGTCGATTTTTTTCCTCACTGATAAAGTGCTTTCCACGATAGATGAATTTTTCCCTCGGTGATTCTGGCAGCTTTGAGGAGTATTTGTTAAACTAACAAACACTGGGAATGACTAAGTAATCACAATAAACTATGACTTGCCCGAATGATGTGTGGTGTGGAAGCTAAAAGCCCACTAGTATGGCGTGAGAGAGAGGGAGATGTTGTATGGTTTTGAAGTAGCTAATCTAGGGTTCTAAATGGTTTGCTAGTAAGCTTATGGTATGAATCAGAGTGAAGAAAAAGGTTTGGAACTCTCGAGTTAGGGTTTCCAGCATGTAGAGATAGTTTTTTTTTCTTTGCTTGGTGCTTTCTTTCCCCTTTCCTTCCCCTTTCCTTCCTCCTTTTTCCAACATACTGGTGCCTTTAATTCTTCCACATATGTTAATCTTCCCTTCTTCTTTCGGTAGCTGCAACTACTGAGCTCCCTTTTGGTGTAACACTGCAAAAGGCTAGGAGCTTCGTGAAGCCTAGGTTGAACACGATGCCCAAGAGTTTCCTCTTTCTTGCATCAAGTACCATAGCACCTTTCCTGCACTAAGTCTCATAGCACGATTCCATCTTTGGCAACGCTCCCCATGCTTTTTCGTCTTGTTTTCCTGTATGAGCTTAGAAAGGAAAGATTCTTTTCTTTACAATAAAAGGCTGCGCGGCTCTAGGTCAAAAAGTGACAGTTTTAGTTTGGTCAGGTTTAGGTTTTTGGGAACGTGATTTAGCTTGGTCAACCTTGGGTTTTTGGTTGGTTCCTGAATATCTTAGCTGGTTTGTAAAGGAAATGGTAAGGATAAAGCAGTTCTCTCTCAAGCCTTCCCATGTGAAGCCAAAATCATGGGTTTTAACTTTTGGTGCTCCCAAGTAGCTCAAACTCTTCCACAATTCTAAATCCACGTAGGCCCAATAAACTTTGTAACCATCCACACCACGACTCACTCGGCAAGCCCGTTACGTGGCTTGGGCTCATTTAAGCGTGTTGCATGCTTGGCACCACTCGAATTATAATATTAATACATTAATATTATAATACGGTTTGGCACGATAAATATGCTTGATTTACATGGGCTTGGCATTATTTTACAAACGTCAAATAAACTATTATTTTATTGGCATGGCATGATCGTAAATTTGTATACTCGTTTTCGCACTTTGCATGGATTTAACTTGGCTTGTGACGCTTTTGCAATAATTGGGCTATGGGACATGATTTTTGGGACCCAATACCTTACTTACATTATTTAAATTTTCATTAAAAATTGCCACGTTTCAAGAAATGTAGAGTATCAATAACATTAAGAAATGATAAACAAAAAATAACAAAGAATGAATGAGAATATAAAGGAATGGGTATGGGATAAACAGCTCCTCTCCATCCCTCCTCATCCTCCTTCTCTTCCTCCTCATCCTCCATGGTAATCCCATTCATTGACTTTTCAGGTATGAAATATCTAAATGCATTTATTTTTTTCATTCCTTGACATGTTAGCAAATTCATTTATTTTTTCATTCCTTGACATGTTAGACTAAACTCAACCCTGGGCTATTTGCCAAATTTTCCCACTTATTCCTCCCCCCCCCCCAAACCTAACCCAACCCAAGCCAAATCTTTGGGCTAAAAGCCAAATGCCAAACCAAGGCCAAATACCCCCCCCCCAAGAAATAGCCCAAAAACGGGTGGGCGCATCGAAGCCCAGCCCACTCTTGGACTGGTGACGCGCGCAACTCGCCCACGCGAGCGTCAGCCTTCAACGCCCGATAGGGTGGGACCCATTGTCAGGGCCGCTGTCGGCCACAATTATGAGCCCAACGACTTTTTTGTTCATCGGACGGCTCACCTTTTTGGATCGTTGGTTGATCCAACGGTCCAGATTCAAATTTTGTTTTTAAAAAAATGTTATTTTAAAATACATTGAATCCAACAGCTGAGATTGAATATAATCAAATCTAATGGTGAAAAAAATGATCTAATGGCCCAAATTTAAATCCAACTGCTAAAATAATAAATAAAAAAATTATTTAACTCAAAATTCACCCAAAAGCTCTATAAATACCTATGTATTTGTTCAAACATCCACACAAAACTCAATTTTCTCCTACAATTCTTCCAATTTTTCTTTCTACCATTTCTTTCCATTTCCAAATTGTTCAACATGGAAAGAGAGCATATTAGAGGTCATAATTGGACCTGTGAGGAAGATGTTGCTTTATGCTTGGCATGAGTTTCTATTAGCGAAGATGGTGCAGTTGGCACGAATCAAAATAAAAAGGTTTTGTGGGATAAAATCATTGAAAAGTTTCATGAAAACTGCAACGGCGACGGGAGGGATGGTGGTGGTGTTTATGATCGGTGGAAGACTATCAACAAAGCATGCACTTTATGGAATGGAATATTGGAGAGAGCTGTGGTTGGCATGGTTAGTGGAAGGAGCGTCGTAGAAATTGTGAGTTTTTTTGTTAATATTTTATTTGTCATGTACATAATATTATTTTGCAACTACTTATTTTTATGTATTTTTTGCATAGGGTGACAAAGCAATTGAAATTTACAAGACAAGAGTAACACCAAAAAATCAAGTTTTTAAGTTACAACATGCTTGGGATGTCTTCAAGGATTGTCCGAGGTGGGGAACAGATGCGAACCAACAATGGGGAAGATTATTTCAACGTGAAGCCGTACCAATAAATGTCGGAGATGAAGGTGTCAATGAAGGTGTCAATGAAATGACCCCAACTCCTTCTTTTGCAAGGCCCCCGGGAAGAGATAAGCAAAAGGAAGCAAAGAGAAAAGGGAAGTCCCAAGGTCCGATGAGTGGACACATTGCTACCGGAATTGCAAGATTGAATGAAACCCATAGCGCTCACCAAGAAGAAGCGGCCCAAATGCGTTTGCAAATGAAGGAAGAAGGGGATAAAGAGCAAGATAGGTTTGAAATTAATTTCATGATGGAGGACCTCAACAAATACACTCCAGAGAGGAAGAAGTTCTTATGTTGTAAGCAAAATGAAATTTTGCGAAAGTATGCCAGAAGAAGTATATTTCAAGATGATGAATCATCTCAATCCTATATCCCAAGTCCACCACGAAGTCCACCACTAAGACAAGATGGTGGATATCATTATTTAAGTTTTTGTAGTGTATGAATTATCGATTGTATTGAGTTTATGTGGTTTATTAATTGTCGTTTGTATTAAATTTATGGCTTATTAATTATTGTTTCTATTAATCTAGATGCCTTCAATAATTATTGTACTTATTATTCCATACTTTGATGTAGAATAGATGCCTTCAATAATTCAACCTCCATTCAATAATTTATCCAATGTACTAGACAAAAGACTTTGCACAAGAAGACACTTAAATTTATTACTAGAAATACTAACATAGTACACTTAAAATTATTACATAAAATAACAACATAGCACACTTCAATTTAACACAAGAACACATTAATACACAAACATCATCAACGTTCACCTTCTCGGCGCCATACATGCTCAACCGAATCCTTGCGGAGTATATCATGACCTTGAGGAGCTTGAATTCTATTTAAACGTCTTATATACTCACTCAATGTGACCCTATCCTATTAGGTCTCATATGCGGTTGCAGCGAGATATTCAACATCTCTTGCCATAGCTCTTGCATGTGTTGGTTGGTCATCATCCACATCTTTGTCTGAATCTTCTTCAATTTCGATGTACTCATCTTCCACAATCATGTTGTGCAAAATTATGCACGTCATCATGATTGAATGGAGGTCTTCGGTATGCCAAAGTCGTGCAGGCCCTCTAACAATGGCCCATCGAGCTTGTAGGATCTCGAACGCTCTCTCCACATCCTTCGTGTAAGACTCTTGCCTCTGCAAAAATAATTTCTTCGTTACACTATCGAGATGAGAAAAACTTTTGACAAAGGTAGACCAACTAGGATAAATACCATCAGTTAGGTAGTAACCTAACTCATACCTATTACCATTTACCTTGTATCGAAATTCTGGTGCCCATCCATTGACAACATCATCGAACAAATGAGAAGACCAAAGAACGTTGATATCGTTGTTTGATACAGGAGCGCCGAAGAATGCATGCTAAATCCAAGTGTTGTAAGACGCCACAGCCTCGAGCACGATGGTTTGCTTGTTATGATGGCCCTTGAATTGGCCAGCCTAAGCAGTAGGACAATTCTTCCACTCCCAATGCATACAATCAAGACTTCCTATCATGCCAGGAAAGCCTTTTTTGTCTGCCTTGCGTAGAAGCCTCTTCAAGTTTTCACAATTTGACTTGTGGAGGTATGTGGCTCCATATATGGCTTCAATTGCCTTACAGAAGCACTTTAAGTTCTCAATAACAGCAGTCTCAGCAAGTCAGCAATAATCATCAGTTGAGTCTGCAGAGCACCTGTTAACTAGCATTTGAAATGCAAATGTGAGCTTCTGATGAGGTGATAGACTTTGTCAGCCTACGACATCTATCTTTCTTGCAAAGTAGTGGTCATAATTGACAATTGTGTTCAAGATGCTTTCAAAAAGCTCTTTCCTCATCCTAAACCGCCTTCGAAAATCATGAGCACGAAATCTTGGATGCTCAATGAAATAATCTTTCATCATTCGGTCATGACACTCTTCTCTATCACGCTGCACAAATGAACGCCCCATGACAGAACCACGATAGCTAGATTCAGCATGGTGCTCATATTGCATAAGCGAGTTTGCAAGTTCAGCTTCTGCATTGATCATTTCTGCATCCTCAATGTCAAGGCTAGCTTGGTATTATGCCATCTGCATTGCCCTGCTACGCCTTCTTCTATCACCCATTGATTTTTAGGAAACAAAAACACTTTGAAAGTTGAAAGATTGGTGAATATAGAGGATGATTGAAGGTTTCAGTTTCATGTGTGTAGGTTTATGTTTCACTTGTTTTGTATGTATTTTGTATGTGTTTTGTGTGTGTCGTGTGTTTCACATGTGTTCTTTGTGTGCTTCATCTCAATCATGTGTTTTGTATGTGTTTCGTGTGTGTCATGTGTTTCACTTGTGTTCTGTGTTTGCTTCATCTCTATTATGTGTTTTGTATGTCCTTCACATGTGTATATGCTTCACATGTGTTTTGTATGTGCTTCACATGTATTATGTGTGTCTTGTATGTTTTATGTATTTTGTGTTTATACATCTCTATCATGATTTTTCATATTCTTTCATAGTGTTTCATGAGTTTCATGTATCGATTTAGTGATTTTTCAATATTTATCGGAATTTAAATATTTTTAGATTAAAATGTTCATAAAATTAATTTACGATAGTCTATATAATTTAAAAAAAAAAAGTAAATTTAAGAAAAAAAATTAGCCTAAGTTCATTCTTTAATAATTTCGGGCTAAAATTTTAGGCCAGAAGGGTTGGAGCAAAAAACCTATTTCTAGGCTAAAAGCTAAATTTTCCGGACTAAAAAATTTGGCTTTCAGTAAACACATGAATGTGAAGCACACCCATTTTCTTGGTTATTAGTAAACCTAATAATGGGCACGACACCCATTCCTTACAAATCTATTATTTCTAAGTAAACATGCTCTTAATGAGATGCATGTAAACTTTTTTTAATGGTAAATTGGATGAAATGCGGGAAAACTTGAGAATAGGAAGAAATTAGCCCCTTATAATAGTTCAAGAGTAAAATTGTCCAAAATAAAATTTTAGCTGGCAAATCAATAATAAGGTACATGTAGTTAATTATTGGGGAAAATTGATTAGATACTCTAGTTTTTATGCATGATTTGCATCTTTGTTTTAGTTTAGAGTGTTTAATCTTGGGTAACAAAGAAAATCACTGCATGCACTTTACTATTCTTAGATAATCGCATACACATACAATCACTAACAAATTAAACATGTCTTGCAGATTCACATTCGTTTATAAATTCATCTATAGTTATTGGCTGCTATGAGTAATATTACTATTTCAAAACTAGACTAAGACGAAGAAGACGAATTTGAACTCGGAAACACAATTTACCATTTTAAGAGAGATTATATTCATACATCTCAAATTACTTTTTTCAATGACCTTTTTAATTTTTTAATATTTTTCTATCAAGTGTTAGTGGTGTGTCAAAAAATATTTAAAAATAAATAAAAAGTTGTTGGGAAAATAATCTGAGATGTGTGAATATAATCTCTCAATTTTAAACCTGCAAATTTCAGCATATAAACCACTATTCTTGATTATTTTTTTTTTGGACAACGCTATTTTTATGCTAAGTGAGAAGGGTGAGCTAAGCTTCATATGGTTCAAATTATCTTTGGTAAGACTTGAACATAAGACTTCTCATTTAAAAGTGAAAAAAAATATCATTAAACCGTAGTATGATACCACTATTTTTGAATTAAGAACAAAACCAAATGCTAAATAATTTCTCGTTCAAGAAATGAAATAAGGAATAACAAAGGTAAAAAACCTAATTGACCAAAATAAAAAGGTTGAAAACTTGAAAACCTTTCGTGCGACACCGACTCTAAACGCGATCTCCTACTGCCATCTGTCCACATTGTCTAGGATCCAAAACGATATCAGATTGGAATGTCACTCCAAGTATCCAATTCAAACCCTTAAAAATCCCAACCCTCTCTCGCTCTCTGTCCGAACTCCGAAAAAGAGTGGTAATTTTGCTGGCACTCCATGGGCAAAAAGGTCAAATGGAGCTGGACCTCCGCCGCAATCGGAGCGGCATCGGCTCTAGCCATGACGGCGCTCTTGTCGTCAAAGCCCAAAGATCCAACCTTCCACCTCATCTCAATCAACCTTACCTCCTTCAAGCTCAACCTCCCAGTCCTCGAAGCCGACCTCATCCTCACCGTACATGTCACCAACCCCAACATCACCCCCGTCCACTACTCCTCCACCGCCATGTCCATCTTCTATCACGGCTCCCTTCTCGGCTCTGCCCAAGTCCAGGCCGGCTCTCAGCCCCCCAAATCGTGCCAGCTGCTCCGGCTGCCGGCTCGGCTCGACGGGCTGCAGCTGGCCCAGCACGCTGCTAGCTTTGTTGCCGACGTGGCGAAGCGGGAGATGGTGCTCGACGCCGCTGTGGATATCGCGGGCACGGCGAGGGTTTTGCTGTGGGATCACAAGTTTAAGGTGCACGTGGATAGTCACGTGACGGTTGATCCGGTTTTTCTTGATGTCATTGAACAGGAAAGTAAGTCCGAGATGGAGATTTTTGTTGCTTGATTAGTGGTTGGGATCATGAACTACAGCTCTGTGTTATGCAAAATGCATTTGGTCAATGCAATGAAAAATGTGATTTTATTTTTTTATTTTATTCTAGCAGGGAAGCCAAGAAAAAATTCGACATAAAAGTACAAAATCCGTCCTTCTCCTTGTATAGTTTCCAGCGTGTCAAATCGCAACCAAGCTCGGTCGAGCAAATGTGATGATTGTGCTGGCGTGGTGATGAAATTTGGAATTAAGGGATTTCACTTTATTTACGAAATTGCTTTTTTTTCATTTTTTTGGGCCGAAGGTCTTGATTTGGCACTTTGGTCCTTTATTCGGGCTGTTAGAAAGTGAGACATTTGTGTGAAAATGACTGTAATGCCTATTTTGATTTGAAATCCAAGGGCCAATAGTAAAAGATTGGTGGGCATTACTGTCATTCTCGGTTTGGGAGAGGGTGGGGTTCTGTTGCTGAAATTCAGGGACGGGTTTGAGATTTGGTGAGGGGAAATCAGGAAGAGAGAGCGAGGTAGGTAGGTGGGTTGCAGAGGCAGACGGAAAGCGGGAGGGGTAGGGGCGCTAAACAGGAAGAAGTAAGGCTTTGAACAGAAGCACGCAAGGTGTCTTTGTGCTTTATTTCAATTCGGTGAGAGAGAGAGAGAAAAAGAGGGATGAGGCGGAACGCGTGTTATTTTCACCGCTTTTTTCCCTCTCCTTCCTCGCCTAATCTCGCAAAAATTCATCATCTTCATCTCCGTTGCTCACATTATCGTAAAATTTTTCAAAACCTCAAACCAATAAATCGCAAAAAAACCTCAAACCCTCAAATCAATAAAGAGAAATCCCACATTTAATCAAACTTTGAAAATAACCTTGACCTACAACAATGGTGGAATTGCAGAGAGAAATAGAGAACAATTGAAAAGTATTTTTTAATATTTATTTCATACATGACCGTTGCCTCAATCGAAGAGGATATAACAACATTTTGATGCCTTCACCAAGTGCATGAATGCCAGCTCAGCACAACAAAACAAAAGTCTATTAAACCAGCCTTATATTAGACTCTATTACAAAAAGACCCACAAGTTCTCCTAACAATTAACACCCTATTACAATTTTGTCCAATGCCCTGCGATTAAGGCAATCTCAAAATTGGGATCATAACAATACTTCCCTCTTCAAGAACCTTATCCACGAGGTTTTTATACAGAAAAATCTGGAAATTGGGCTTTAAATTCTTCAAAATCTTCCCAAGATGCATCAACAACCTCTTGTCTCATCCAATGAATCAATAGTTGTACTCCAGCCGAGATACCCTTCTTGTAAATCCTTCTGGCCATAATTTCTTAGGGAATTTTCAAGGATAATCCATCATCAAGGACCTGCGGTAAGGCAGCATGCAGCTTAGTGCCAGTTCCCTTCTTCTTCTTGAGGCATCCACATGAAAAACCGGATGAATCTTGCTCTCCATAGGAAGCCTGAGCTTATAAGCCACTTTTCCAATCCTTTCAATCACTTCATAGGGTCCATAATACCTTGGTTGTAGTTTGTGGAAGCTATTTGTTGCCATAGATTGTAACTAATATGGAATTGATTTCAAGAAAACTGAAGCTCCCACTGCAAATTGTCTTTCACTTCGCTTTTTATCAACTTGAACTTTTATTCAGTTTTGAGCCAACTCCAAATTACACTTCAACACAGCTAACACCTTGTCTCTCTCTACAAGACTTTGTTCCATTGCGTTTATGGTAATACTGCCCACTTCATAAGCAACCATGTGTGGTGGGGGATAGCCATACACCAATTTGAAAAGGATGAACCTAGAAGAAGTGTGATATGAAGTATTAAAGCACCATTCAACCCAAGCAAGCCATTTCACCCAAGACCTAGGCTCTCCTCCCACAAAGCATCTCAAATAGGTTTCTAAACACTTATTCATCACCTCAATTTGCCCATCACTATGAGGGTGATAACAAGAGCTCATACATAATTTAGAATTCTACAATTTAAAGAACTCTTTCGAAAATGCACTGATAAAGATGGGGTCCCTATCACTAACAATAGATTGAGGCTTGCCATGCAATTTAAACACATTGTCAATGAAAACCTGTTCAACTCCAACAACAGTGTAGGGATGAGACAAAGCTATAAAGTGTGAGTACTTAGATAACTTATCTACCACAATCATGATCATTGATTTAGCTTTACACAAAGGCAGCCCAACTAAGAAGTCCATACTGATATCAGTCTACATCTTAAGTGGAATAGGCAGTGGGTGCAACAAACCTGGATGAGAGGTTATTTCAAACTTATTTTGCTAATACACATGACAATTAACTATGAATTGTCTGACATCTTTCTTCATCCCATGCTAATAGAACCTTTTCTTCAACCTATAATAGGTTTTCAGTACTCCTTGATGGCAAGCAGCAGGAGTAGAGTGGTGCTCGTCTAACAATATGCTTCTCCACTCAGAGTCCAAACTTAGAACAATTCATTTCTTGTAGCATAAGAATCCATTCGCAAGTGAGAATTTAGCAAGTGTTGAGCTACCAATGCTAATATCAAGACTCTCTTAAACCTTCATTGTCTTTGCTGCAATCTAACTATCATGTTCGTTGTACCTCCTGAGATCATCTAACCATCCACCATAGGGGTATGAAATGGATGCACATTCAGCATAAGCAAAAGGAGGATACTCATGAAGTTGAGAAGTTCCATGGACCCTAGATAATTGATTTGCTACATCATTGTCATGCCCTTATTTGTATTGGATCTCATAATCAAAACCTAAGAGTTAGACACCCATTTATGTTGGAAATATGTCTTAGCCCTTTGGTTGAAGAAGTATTTAAGACTGTTATGGTCTGTTTTAATCACAAAATGTCTACCTTGGAGGCAACTTTTCCATTTCTTAATTGCATAGACAATGACAATCATTTCCTTCTCATAAGTGGATAGAGCTTGATTTCGAGGACTTAATGACTGACTAGTGAAAGCTATAGGCTTCCTTCCTTGTTGTAATACTGCACTAATACCATAACCCGAAGCATCACATTCAATTTCAAAGGGTATAGAAAAATCAGGGAGTGCCAAGACTTGAGAAGAGGCCATGGTAGCCTTAAGTTTTTTAAAAGCTTCAGCAACCACACTATTCCATTCAAAATTGTCTTTTTTGGTAAGATTGTACAAAGGTTGATAAATTCCCCATACCTTGGGATAAACTTCCTGTAATAACCTGTTAATCCAAAAAAACCTCTTAATTGCTGACTTTTTTTGGCACATGCCAGTCTTTGATTGCCTGCAACTTATTTGGGTCAACTTCCAACCTATCTCGAAACACAATATGGCCTAAATACTCAACCCTACTCTGCCCAAATGAACATTTAGACCTCTTAAGGTACAACTTGTGGTGCTGCAATATGCAAATATCATTCTTAGATGTGCTAAATAATCAGACCAACTCTTGCTATAGATCAACAAATCATCAAAGAAGACAAACACAAACTTCCTCAAATAAGGTTTAAAAAGGTCATTCATTAAGTTTTGAAAGGTTGTCGGGGCATTAGTGAGGCCAAAAGGCATGACCAAGAATTCATAATGCCTTTCATGTGTCTTGAAAGTAGTTTTATTCACATCAGCTGGATTCATTAGAATTTGATGGTACCCAGACCTTAAATCTAGTTTGGAGAAGTAATTGGCACCAAACAATTCATCTAGTAAATCATCAATCAAGGGAATATGGTACTTATCCTTAATTGTGAGGGCATTAAGTTCTCTATAATCAATGCACATCCTCCAAGTGCCCTCATTCTTCTTCACCAAAAACACTAGAAAATAAAAATGGTTATGATTGGGACTAATAAATCTTGCATCCAATATCTCTTGCACAACCTTCTCAATCTCATTTTTTCTGTAAAGGACCATAGTGATAAGGCCTAATGTTCGAGGGTTTGGCATTAGGAGGCAAGGGAATATGGTGATCATATTAGATAAAAAGGTAATTGGGAAGGGACAACAAACAACTCATCAAAGTCACCAAGGAGATATTGTATCTCTTGTAATTAGTGTTGAGTAAGCTCACTAGCCTCAAACTTCCTAGTCTCCATGGAATACAAAAACAATCCTAGATTAGCATTGTAAAGTTCCTTGTCTAAGTGTTGCAGGGTAACTTCTTGAATAGATGGATCCACATGAGGAGTGTGGTACAATTTAAATGTTGCTCATCTTTATTAAATGCCATGGTAAGTTGCTAGAAGTCACAAAACTGGAATAACTGTGGACAGCCAATGAACACTTAAGACTACATCATAGCCCCCCAATGGTAGTAAGTACAAGTCCACTGTGTAATTATAACCACCCAATGAAAGAGCAGTAGACTTATAGCACCCTGAGCCTTTTACTTGACCCCTATATGCTATCATGACTTCAAAAGAATTTGTGGCATGAGCTTGTTGTACCCAAAGTTTCAGCAACTTGGAATCAATAAAATTGTGAATGCTGCCTAAGTTTAATAGGATTGTAACAGTATGGCCACCAATGTTACCCTCAACTTTCATGGTTCATAAGGTCGGTTTATCAGCTGTGCCATAGAAAGCACAAGAACTAAGTTCCATAGCTTGCAATTCAGGATTAGAGTCGTTAATAACATAGTCTTCAGGAGGTTCTGCATCCAATAAATTCATCATAAGCAATTGCTTAAGACCACATTTATGGCCTCAAACCCATTTATCATAACAAAACCAACATTCTCCACGTTCACATTTCTATTGGGTTTCAGTAGGAGTCAATTTCTTGATTGGCAAGTTACCAGGGCGTGGAACATTGTGGGTAGTAGGTGTTGTAGGAATAGATTTAGCAGCAAGAGGAGCCCTATATGGGGGAGGTTTTAACTCAGCAAGTTTAGTGTCCAATTGCACAGGAATAGCAATGGCCTCATGAACATTTGCAAATTTCAAAATTTTAACATCGAATTTCAATTCACGCTTAAGACCTCATAGGAAACAACTCTCGAGTAAAATATGACCCAAATTGGTAGTTCGATTAGCAAGCCTCCTAAATTCAGAGATATAATCAAGCAATGTATTTGTTTGGCGAAGCTTAAACAATGATTCAGCACTATAGTCAAACTCAAATGGCCTAAACTCCCTGCAAAATGCTCAAGTGAAATCCTCCTAACGAGGAGTAAAGCAAGTATAATCCATCCACCAAAACCATTGCAGAGGCTTCCTATCGAGATGGAAAGAGGTGATGAACACCTTTTGATTCTCCAGT